TTTAGTAAAAACAATTTCACATGAGGATCTGGGCTTGTAACTCAAGACTCTATAGAAATAGTTTGAACTGGTACAATATCTGCTACCTAACAATATGAGGACCGATGAAACACACACACTTCTACACTCACCATTTGTTCCTCAATTAGCAAACATCTACATGGAAGAATGACAAAAGGTCAACAAGAACAAATATAAAATACATTAAAAAAGATCTAATTTATTTGTATCAATGTTTTATAAAATGGTATTATTTATTCTTTAATTATAACTTACTAACTCATGTTCTCACTAATTCAGGATCCCATTAGCTTGATAAGCTAACTTTTCAGTGCAAACCCTGGGCAACTGCAGTTAGAATTGTGTAACTTCAAGTTATTTTAACACCTCAACAAATAATGTTAAAAGAGCGCAGACAAAGCACCTTCAAAGGTAAATACTGTTATAAAATTACTAAAAACACGGTAAGCTCCACAAATAACATGACTTACTAGGTCTACTGATTATCTATCAATTTGGTGTTGAATTGGAAACCACTGTTACAATTCACATTTTAAAATAATATCTTGTGCTTCAGTAACAACATCTTAGAAAAAGTAATGAATTACCTCAATTTAGTGTGCAGTCCTTCCAGTTCTGTTGAGAGAATCTTCCATGTGGCAGTGGTCCTTTGCATGCGGTTAGCTACGTTAAGCTAATAAGCTAACATTAGCTCATCTGGCCATGTAAATAAAAGTAATGATGGAATAACTAGTTCTCTAGATTAGAAGGCAGGACATCTCATTCATAAAACGAGGGGCAATACTCTGGTAGTTCGATGTGTGTATAGGTGTGTGTGGTTAAACCAGGTTAAACGTAGCAGCCTCGATCTCTATTCAGCGGTTCAAATGAAGGGAAACACAGTGAAGTAAACAGTAAAAGGCACAGCTCTTTGCAGCTGGTGCTGCTCTTCTCAGATTCTGCTGAGTTACAAGTTACTGCCTCCAGTGCCCTGTAGGACGAAGCCAGTTCAACAGACCCTGGATATGTTCGATTTACCCGGCTTAACTAACCCTTACAAAGGCGATGTCGATAAGCGGTCCTACGAAGCTGGTTATCAACTCAGTAAATCAACCAGGGTTTCTCTGACCGGCTGAGAGCGCGTTCACGTGAAAGGGATGGTGTTAGCAAAATTTGACCAATCACAAACAAGGAGACGCGTGCTGACAGCGCAGCGTCATACTTCATGAATGAATAGTGTAAATAGCAAATCCTGCTTCGTAGTACAGGCCACTGGTGCCGCAGAGATTTATACGAGAAAGTAAAACGTGGCCACTTTTTATTTATTTTTCTCTCAATGAATCCTCCAGGGCTCCGTAGTTGATCAATAAAGTATTTTTTTATAGACGTTTTAGCATTTTTATAAAGAAAAATTGAAGGTTTTTTTTTTTCTTGTATCACTTCACCACAAGTAATTATTAGCAATGTATCATCATACTTGCCTCCCATTTTCTATTATCAGTGAGAGCATTTCTTAAAGGTATTTTTAAAAGAAAATATTAAGAGTTAACTGCCTGTATGCGGAGAAACAGAGGAAAATGCCAAACAATGTAAATGTAGAGCTTATTGAAGGCAGCGGGATAACAGTATGACAATTGAACAATAAACAGTTAATAAAGCAGTCATATCATGGCACTTGCTGAGGGGATAAAAAGCGCTGTGTGCACTCACCTCGTCGAAGGAGGAGTGTGTGAACATGTCATCATGGGCGAGGCCGAGGCGGGGGGTGAGGATGGAGATGGGGGGGGTGATGGGTGTGATGGCGGGCGACGGGCCATCAGACAGCAGGACGTCCCTCTCTGGACTGTCCAACGAAACCTCCTCTGTGGCCTCTGCAGCAGGACAGATAGAGTGTGATCGAGCATGAAAATGGGGCAAACAAAGGGATCACAATGTTTTCTCTCAAGTTACTTTCTATGTAACATGATGTTAATTCATTAAAGAAGGACATAAGAGAATAGGAAATGCAATCTCAGAGTGTTATTGTGCAGGGCGGCCATCTTTGCAGGATAGTTTCTAAAGAAACGGCAGCAGCCAACAATAATGATCATCTTTCGACTCGTCGTCTGTCAGCTCTTGCATCTGAAATGAATATAGAAGCCAAGAGTATAGATGCCCTAACAGAGAGAATTGTCTTTGTTTTTAATGATTTGAATAATAGAAGAAGGGTCAAAGGATCTTGTAAACTTGCCGCCCATCACTGTTACTGATGTCAGCGCACATCTGGTGTTTGTAGTTAGTGCCAACACCTGTCGGCAATGTGAATATTTTTTATATTTGGAAGCCAATGTAATGTTTACAAATGGATAAAGTGGATACAGGACCTTCAGATCTAGAGGCCCAATTACAACTATACAATCATTTGGACAGAGGTAAGTTGGCTAACGGTATGCTAACAGAATGCTATCAAAACCATGGTTTATCATACAAAATGTATTTAACGGTATATTTATATATACTGTATACTGCTACATTTCATGTTTCAAGTCGTATTCCATTTGTAGTGGTTTGTGTTACTGTAGTCAAGCAATTTCTTTCTGACAATATACAGTCAGCAGATGGCTGCCACACTAGCTATTTGGCATCTCTTGCTAATGTTGGTTACGTCTCTCTAGTTTAGTTTCCATGTTGGAAATGTATAAAATATAATCACATGGTCTTTTAATTAGCTGTGTTTGTTTTTCTTCGACATTAGCAGTGATAGCAAAAGACACAACGGTGCCTTACGACCATGTTTAAAAGGTTTAAAGGGAAAAGTTGCCCTACATGTTACGTCAATGGGATGCTTTCGTTGGTATATTTCCAAGATGACCAACTGATTGTTGATGACATCACATTCCCTGTTGGGTTTCTCCTATTGTTCAACAAAAAGTTTGACAAGCCACCAATGTACTTTTTACCATGTTTGTTATATTTTAGTACTTCCCAAATGAAGCCTTAAACTCTCATCATGTCAGATTTGCGACGGACGGTAAAAGATGATCAAAAATGTATACGGAAGGACAATAAAATGTATTATTAATCCCTGCATAATTCTTCCTGTCTCCTACACTACCCTGGATATTTTGGCCTGGAGGCGGTGTGTAACCAACAACAGCGCACATTTGCACGGGTGTGGAACACCGAAATGTGGACGATTTCATGGTAAAACAGTTCTGTGTGTGTGCGTGTGTGTGTGTGTGTGTGTTTGTACCTGCGAACAGGTCCTCTGAATCGTCATCAAACAGCGAATCCCGTTTGGGTCCATTTGAGTTGGTGCTGATGTCTTCAGCAGGTAGACTGGCTAGTCCTGACTGTAAACACACACACAGAAACACACATAACATATGTTACTCATTGTGCAGCAGGAAACTTTATTAACTCAGCCATCTGCATCAATGTAGATACAGGGTATATGCAGAAATCCTGAGGTCAAATTTAATACCTTTTAAGACCTTTTTTAAGACCCTTTCCATACATTTGAAGACCTCATCGAAACTTTGAGTTCTAACCGGTTACACACTTTACCTCACATTGACTATATTGATTGTAAGATAGCAAAACTAAACAGAGTGCAGACAGACTACTGAAGCCTCCTCTCCACATGAACTTCAACCTCTCTGTGAAGGTCAGGTTTAATGCAGTATGCTGCTTTGTTGCTTCTGTAGACTCTGTGCTCTTTCATTCCAGTAAAACTCCTCAGAAACCATTAGAAACCATTATTTGACCAATAAACAAAACAATTGACAAAACTTTTGAACTTTTTGAAACCTTTGAAATATATTAAACTTTGGTGAGCTTCAGCGGGGTAATGCCATATAGGAGCTCCCTCACAAATACCCAGGGGTTAAATTGGGCTGGGGCTGTCCGGGGCTAAGCCCTGGCACATAGGACGATGCTCTGACGTCATCACCCTCACACATTTTTCATATGTTTACAAAAAACGATATATATGTTAAGACTTTTCTCGTTCTTAATATAGACTATATTAGGGTCGATATGTGTTGACTTTACTTTAAAATAGCAGATCTCTGTGACCGGATATAGTTTGGCTTAGACCCCGGTCCCACGAGGACGCATACGGTAAAAC